TTAGTTTACTTATTACGTTGTAGTAGTAGTTAGTTAATTAGTTTTAGGTTTTTTTTTACGTTTTTTTTGTTTAGTAGTTAGGTTTAGTTTTATTTATTACCTACTACTATACGTACTACTCTCTCTCTCTCTCTCTCTCTCTCTCTCTCTCTCTAGCCTTATATTTATAATAAAACGTTAAAAATATAAGATATACAAATTATGTCCTGTGAATATACAAATTGTTGTAAGGCTGTACATAAAAAATTCGTATACATAATCAAATATAAACATAATATATTACATTATCTTATTTGTACTATATGTATAATAACATTTTTTAGTTGCGTTATCTCTCAGGTATTCGGTAAGGTACAAAGGCCCAATGCCACGATTCAAGAGGTCGTCTCAGGTCCTCCAAATCAGTTGGTATGGGATATCCAACTTACATACAGGAGGGTTAACAAGACTAATGCGCAATAGTTAAATAACTTTTCGGAACTCTTGAGTACTTGCTTTTTTAAGCCTTATTGCCTTGTGTAAAAGAAACAATTTGGGAGCTCAACCCAGAAGGCTTCTTCACAGCTAAGTCTCCCTATCATTTTCTTTCTCAAGACCGTTTCTCCCCACTTAGCCTGTGGCAAACAAAGCTTGGTCTTTGCCTGTTCCTCTTCACATTCAGGCTTTCATTTCTCTTCTTTTTCCATAATAGAGCACCAACAATTGATCTTGTCTAGAAGACAGTAAAATTATTTCTAATGTATGCTTGCTATGTAAGCAGAGATGAGGAGACGAAGGCACATCTATTCCTCCACTGCCCTTTTGTGTGCTTCTTATGGTCCTAGCATCCCTTTAACTTTGACCGAAACGGATTTGCCAACGACGGGAATTTGCCAGTGGAGAATTTCTATGACTGCCTCACTATGGGTGGTATGGAAGGAGTGCAACAGAAAAACTTTTTAGGGGAAGTTCGTCGACCAGTCTTCAGTAATTAGAAATATTCAGACCACTGTTGCATAATGAACTATAGCAAGAAACAAATTTTTTGAAATTGCTAAGGCAGATCTCATGTTTAATATGAAGCAAGTAGCATCCCTATGCATTAAGAAGCACTCAAAGTCTACTGTATGGGATTCTCCTCCTTTGGGGTGGGTTAAACTACATTTTGATGCAAGTGTTCGTGAGAACCCGGGACTAGCAAGTATTAGGAGGGCTACTTCGAGATGGTGAAGGACATATTCTCCCTTCCTTTTCAGACCGTATTGTAAGTTGTACTGTGAATGAGGCTGAGTTGTATGCTTTGAAGCAACGAGTTATTAGCATTCTCCCTATGCTTGAATATTGTCATACAGGTGGACTTAGCAATTGTTATAAGCTGGTTCAATCCTCAATGCCTTCCCTCGGAGATTAAGACAGATCATAGAGGATAAAAGGTTATTTTTAGATTTGTAAACAAAAAAAGATAATTTTCTGGCAGATGAGCTAGTGAGAGAGGGTCCTGGAAGTGAGAATTCCCACTGTCAGATCAGCAGACTTCAGTAGCTAAAGTTGAGGCGATCTGATTTGTCTGGTTTTTCTCTCATTTCGTGTCTCCTCTTTTGATATCTCCCTCTTCCCCCTCTCTTTCTTCTTACACGTTGGTCTCCTCCTCCTCCTCCCTCCTTTCTCTCTCTTTTCCTTCTCTCCTTTGTCGCTTCTTTCTTTTTCTTTTATTTTGTACACAACCTCATTGTACTCCCTCACTATTAAGAAAATATTCTAGCAAGTGTTTAAAAAAAGTAGTCACAAATTGTGATTATAACATAAATTAATGTCACAATATATAATTCATAATTTGTATTTAGAATTACATGGACTTTTAGTTTAAACATATGGGTAAGTTTGGAAAATAAAAAAGCATTTATTGATGGGAGGACCTTGTCAGCTTTTAGTTATACTAGCAAAATGCACATGTGCAACATGTGTATTATAGAAGCAAAATGCTCTACAAAATTTCGTATGATCTGGAGCGTTTAATTTGCCTAAATAAAAGCATGTACTGGTTTTCTGTAGACAACACCCGATCTAAAACATTTCGTATGTAAAACATTTGGAAATAGTGTCTTTGATTTTGAGAATGTAAGTTTTGTTTGTAATTCATTTACAAATCCATCAAAACCAAAGCAAAAAGTGGATAACAATGTTACAAAGCATGATAGCAAGCAATAGGTGCATGAAAATTAAAAATGTTCCGTGGGTGTGGGACAAATAGAGTGAGTGACTGAAGCATGTTTGAATAGAGCATGGTTAAAGATTTCAAACAGAGCATGGGTTCTAAAAGGGATTTCACTTTTACTTGACACATGAAGATACAACACTGAAAACTGTAAACTACTCAATGCATATAAACATCACACAACCTCAAAGGTCTCCCTTAGAAAATTGTCCACTGTAAACTAATCTAGATTATGTTGAAGAATTCACAAAAAGAAAAAAAAAAAAAAAAAAAAGGAAAAAAAGAAGAAAAAGGCTACAACAGTGGGAGCTTTGATCCATGAGGAAATTGAGCATTTTGAGAATCCATCTTGCAACCAACCAAAACAGAAAAATCTCAACCCTCAATATTCTACCATATCCAAACTCCACGCTAAATTCAGAATAAAAAAGAAACCACCTTCTAGCTTGAGATTGTCTACTAAACTACATACAATCAGTTAGATAGATATACAATAGGTATCATATAATATTGCTCATTGCACGAGGTGCAATTAATTAGGCAAGAAAATCCTTCATTAATTCATTTAATCCTTATTTTTCAAGAAATTCAAAAATTACTAAAAATTAATAAACCAAAATAAAGAAATCTCAATATGCATTTCATCAAACACATTTTGTGCATCAGCAAACAACAATGAAACTCCTAGGTTTGATACTGGTTTTTCTATCATGCATCTGTACCAAAATGAAATCAAAATGCACAATCAAAACTGTTAATTCCTATTTTTTTCTACATTAAACGTAAAGTGTTAATCTTGCTTTCATTTTCTTCTAACATGCTTTCAGTGTTGTGAAGCACGGCTTGTACAACCCATCTAGCTAAATGATCCAACCAAAAACAGGAAATCAGAATCTCTCTCTCTCTCTCAAAATCGATTTTTTGGCTGAAAGGTAAAACCTATCATGCATGAAACTACACAAACAAATACAAAATTTCGCCAAAAAAAAATGTAGAACTCACCTAAGAATCAAGAAGTTTGCTTTAGGACTTCTGCTGAATCTACTTTATTGACTCGATACCTTCTGCTGCAAATTCAACACATCTTCAACAACAAACAAAGAAGAAATACAGTAAAAAAATTACAGTGAGAAAAATTAAAGAGAACAAATAGAAAGATGACATACCTCGGTTTGTTGCTGTTCCTCTCTCCTGAATATGTCGTCATGTTGTCTTCTCTCTCGTTTATGGATTTGTTCTCTCTTTCTCTCTCCTCGTTTATGAAGTTGAAATCTTCGGCATTAAAGTTAGCGAAGCAGTCAGCACATTTGATCTCGTTCTCTCAAACTTCAAACACCAAGTCCTTTCGCTTCTTTGATGCTTGCAGACCATAGCTAGCGTGTTAAAGTATAGATATATTAAAGTCATTAAACAATAAGCCTTACCAGTGTCATTAGCGTAATACTTAAGACAATTTTTTGTTGAAACATTCAATAAATTTAACAATAATGTTTACTCTATTGTCACAATACAAAACATATTAAAGATTTATTGAGAGTATAAAATGAAACAACAACGACAATACTAAACACAATAACTATAAACCTGGGTATACGATTGTTTTTCAAAGAAAAAAACAAAAAACCCCCCCAATATACGATGGCAGTTAATTAAAAGAAAACGTATATCCAAAAAGATATGTTGTATACCCCAATGAAATAAAAATAAAAAATAAAATATGAAACTAATCAAACTTCTCTATACATAACAAAACGATAAATGCTTAAGCAAATTCGAATCTTACACTAAATTCCTAGCTGCCAAATATTTAGTATCATTGAATCGCTCTCTTGCTCTTTATAAAGACACTATGGGTTGAAAGAAGGGAAAAAAATTCATAAGGCTACTCTTCCTCTAATTCTACCTATTATTTTGATATATATGATTATTTTGATTTTTCTTTTTTGAGGCATATATTGCTTGCATTTTTTAATACATTTTTTTTAAAGGAACTCATTGGTGAAATTTTTAATAGAATTTTTTGTTAAGTCAAGATTCTTAATTTACTTCTAATGTTAATGTACTTATCTTGAAGAAATAAAGTTACCTGGAAGAGGATTTATTGAAAAAAAGATAAAATATGGTTTTATATCAGTTCCATTAAAAAAATATAATTTCTTAAAAATCTTTTGAAAAACTCGAAGTTCTTAACATATTTCAACTAATAAGACATTTTTGAAAAAGTCATCTTTTAAACGAGAACTTGCTAACCATGCATAGGACCTCAGACAGCCAAGGGTGAACCTTTTTTTGCCAAGTTCTTGTGGAGCCACCTAAACAAATGGATATTTAAAATAACCATGTTTAGGTAAAATTGTCTATTAACTGTTTTTTTTTTTTATTTATCTGGTTGATATTTTAATAATTTTTTTCTTATTTCTCTTACATTAAAAAAAATACATTATTCCATTGAAATCCCTTACAAAATTATTAAGGGGTCAAATAATCCCAATTGACATTTAAGGAGTTGTTTTGTATTTTCATCATTTAGGTACCTCCTAAAAAAATCCAATTTTTTTAAAATATGTCTATTTAGGACAGAAAACCTGAAGGTATTAATTCATTAATTTATACTCTTGTTTATTTCGGGTTACAAAATAACGGACACATAGTTTAGGGTTAGTAATGAGGAGCAACTAGGGGCATTTTGTCCTTACACCTAAATGTCTTGCATGTATTAAATTCCATAAGGAAAAAGTTTATATAAAGCTGAGGCTCTAAACATTCAAATTAGAGCACGCCTGCTCTAAACAATCAAATTAGAGCTCGCCTCAAAAATTTAACTAGAAATGTTGTTTTGATGTCCAAAAGGTATCAAATTGATCATTTGGGCATCAAGATGCATGGACATGAGAAAATAATGGATTTCAAGTTTTGGAAATAGGGCATTAGATCGTCAATTTTCAATATTTTGAAGTTTTCGTAGATCTGCTCGATCTACATTATTTTTAAAGCTTTAAATTTTATAATTAAAGATGAAAATACATTTTAAGGCTATCACAAAGATTTCTAGTATTGAAACTACATTTCTCTACATTATTTGAAGGTGCGCTTTACTTTGATTGTTTAGAGCCTCGGCTCTATACAAACCGCACCCATTACATAAATGGGCAAGCTTTCTATGTTTCCCCTACTGCATATAACTTATATGTTTCCCCCTATCCAACCGTCCATTCTAAATGGACGGCTGATATGGCCCCAATCACAATATCATGTCTCTACACTATTTTATTTTAAATTTTTTTCCAAACTATTTTGACACCAAATTTTAGCTATCCAGTGCTCTCGTAAAGTCGCACCTATAAAAAAAATAAAAATAAAATATTCTCAATAAACTAAAATGTTAAAAAATAGAACTAAAATTTGCAAGAGGTATTTTGATTATTATATTTTATTAAAAATATTTTTAATATTTTTTTAGGTGTCCATTGATATGATGACATGTACCAAATTTCATATTCATATATGTGAAAAGATTTATGTCTGAGGGTTTGCTCCAGCTATTTTGATTGCCTTTTTCTGATGTGGCTCGCCCATCATCATGAATAGGAACTACTTGCAGCTCTCTTCAACATCTCTCTCTTTCTCTCTCTCTTCTGTCTCTCAAACTTCTCTAAAATATTTGCTAACCAAACAGCTTTATATATCATTTTTCCATCACTTGCCTCTATCTCTATCTCTATCTCTTTCACCCATGATTTTCATATTCCTCCATTTTCATACACAACTCTCTCTATGTAACAAGTATGTTTACAATGGCGTTATCTCCAAAAGCATTAGGATTAGAGAGCGAGGAGGGGAAAACATAAAACTTGGTCCAAGTGCTTGGCATACCCAATTCAAGACGTATAAGAGTTTCTCTCTTTAGAATGTTTTGGTTCTCTTTAGATTGTTTTGTTTGAATCAAATTTTTTCTTTCTTAAAATAAAGTAATCCAAGGAATCTCTCTTGTTTCGATCCATTTTTGTCTCTCTTAAAAGTTAAAACTATAGTTTAGTCCAAAAAAAGAAAATCTAGCTCTTGTTTTAAATTGGTTTCTTTCTTAAAGCAAAGTATAGTCCAAGGAAAGAAATGCACATTCTCTCTCTTGTTTTGATTCAATTTCTCTCTCCCTAAATACAGGTGGGTATTCACTATTCAAATATTCATTACCATACACATATTTTTTCTCTCAGTAAAACACCACCCATCTTCGGCCATGAAAATGGAGAGAATATGCAAAGATAGGTTAGGGAGATAGCGAGAGAGTAAGAAAGGAAAGAGAGAGTATGGGATGCAAATTTTTTTGGGGATAAGGGAGCGCTGCATGTATGGGAAGAGGAAATTTCTCTAAATTTTTTTGTAGCAAGCCTTTGAAAACTACTTATTTTCGGTTATCTGGTTGCCCATCTTAGTATTTGAGAAGCATCAACTAATACCTACATAGACGTCCTAGATGTGGGGACTGCCGTATAATATGTGTGGGCTTGACCGCATAAAAACTGGGTCCTTTACTTTTGGTACAAAGATGTGACAAGCACTCTTATTTGTTAGAGTTTAAATTGAGTGATTATAAGTGTGCCGTTTACTCAAAGTTCAATATAAAATTTCTCTAAATTCATGATACTAACCAAGACATCGAATTTGACATCTTATGACTAAAAGTGATTATGATTTTTTTGAAACAATGATAAATGGTCTCATAGTATATATTCCCTAATAATATAGGGACACGATTTCTATGCGGCCCGCCCACATATTGTACAAATGCGGGGTTGGCAATAAATATATTTTAAAAATATATTATTTAGAAAATATATAATCTTTATCATAAACATCATGAATATGAAAAATATAATAAATTGAAAACTAGAAAAGAATAATTATATTAAGAAAACATTTGAACCATTAGTTACAATTGTGTTTAGATGAACCACTTATTTGCATCTATTTTTAAGATGGATGCTTTATACCCCTAAACTGCATATCGTAGAAATGTGGCCCAACCCGCATGAAACAATTTTCCATAATACAGATACCCACATGAAACATTTTTCCATAATACAGATACCCACATGAAACAAATTTTCCATAATGTACATTTTTTTTTCTCCGGTAATTCAATAGGGAAGACATACCCGTACCCGTTTTTCAATAGATTGGGATGTTACATTTTGAAGGATTAATTGGGGGTATCAACAGTCGGAGATACCTGGTAACTGGGTGTGGGATGCTACCACCACGACCCCGAGTCCCTTTCCTATAATATAGATGTATTGATAGTTATTAACTATATGTGATTGGCATGAATCGGCTTCTTCTTTTTGTTTTTTTTGTTTTTTAATCTAATAAATGTTCCTAGCAAATTTATTTTGATTTAGAAGAGATTTAGAAAGGGTTTAATGTTTGAGATTGAAGCTCTCAAATCTACCAAACATGTCCAAAAACCAATCTATCCTTTCCTTTTGTAGAATACAACGAACATTCCCGAGGAAGCCAGAAACTTCAATCAGCATCGTCCGTTACGTAGACCGTCTCGGAATGCACAACCTATCTTGTTCACATCCCAAATCAGACGGTTCAGAGGCACCCCATCACACAGTCTGGGCCCATGCTTGAGTTGGGCCGCTTTTGTTGACGTATCTTCATTTCATTTGTCGCCTACGTTGCATGTTATAACAACCACAAGCTATCACGTCACCCCTGCATTATCCCCTAACAAGCATGCGAACTCACACGAGTTTCCCAAGATCTCATGCGTTATAAATATATATCGCTTGACTGTGAGTCCAAGGTCTGAGATAGAGAGACTGCACAAAAGCCATGGCCGATATTGGAGGAGAGAAATCCATGCCCCTTCCTCTCCATAAGCTTCAGGTATCCACATGTGTGGGGATCAACCGTTTTCTCGCTTTCCTCCACACGTGTGGGATCTTTGCCCTAGCTTACTATAGGCTAGCATGCCTTCCATGTCTGCCCATGCTCATTGCTGAGCTGACCTTTGGCTTGAGCTGGGCCCTTAGTCTGGGATTTCGATGGAAACCGATTTTTCGGCAAACTTTGTCGGAGAATCTCACCAAAATTATCAAGGAATCGAGTCTTCCAGCGATTGATGTGTTCGTTTGCACTGCTGACCCTTTTAAGGAGCCTCCTATAGGGGTTGTTAACACAGCTCTTTCGGCTATGGCATTTGATTATCCGACTGATAAAATCTCGGTCTATGTTTCTGACGATGGCGGGTCGGAGCTCACCCTGTTTGCTTTCATGGAGGCTGCTAAGTTTGCAAAGCACTGGCTGCCCTTCTGTAGGAGCCATGGAATCCAACTAAGAAGCCCGGAGGCTTACTTCACTAGTGGCATGGTTAATGGGTGCTCTTATGGTGATTATAACGATATTAAGGTACGCACTTTAACGAAATTCATTCTGAATATAGGTTGACATATTCTGAGGATTATTTAATCACTTTAGATTTGATGTATATGCTCAAATCAACCTTTGAAAGAAAAATGAACACTCTAGGAGTTTGCAATCTCAAATTTTCAGGGCAATGCCTCAAATTTTCCTAAAGAAAATAGAACCCCAGTTCAGGGTAGTGAATCGGTTGTTTGGATCATTTAGCTTTGGCTGTAGCTTTATTAGGTATTAATAATAGTGTTCTAAAAAGCGGACCGGCCAAATTTTATGAATACTCTTGTGGAAATTTTTATTTGTGCACCTGTTCAAACCATTATATACCCTTTCTTTAGTCATAATGATATGAGGAGTTCAAAAGAAAAATTGTTTCATCTGTGCTGGACCACATTTCTACATATGCGATCCAGAAAGTGTAAAGCATCTATCTTAAAGATGGATGCAAGTAGGTATTCTATCTAAAAAAACCAAGGGAAACTAATGGTCCAAATGTTTTTTTACTAGAATTGTTCTTTATAGTTTTTAAATTTTATTTATTTTTTCATATTCATGATCCCCATGTTAGACATGTCCTTAAAAATTAAGTCCTAAAATCCGTCTCAAAAATAGATTTGTTAAGAAACCCACATTTCTACATAAACAGGCTTGGCCGCATAGAGACCGGATCCGTTGAAAAATGGTTGCACTAGTTTGAACAGGAGGATCCTATTCAGATTTGATACTCATTGCATTATTGGCTGCAGTCAAGCAGTAAGTGCAGTGCTTTGGTAAGAAGACCAACGCAAGTGGGAGCACATGGATTACCATTGTCTTTTTCACAAAATTCATGGTTTACCTAGTTTTGGTAAGGACACATTTGGATTCAACCTGGAGGTGTCAACTCAAATGATTTTGTAGAGGAAGAAAACAGTGAGTAGATTTTGTACCGCATGGAATAAGAAAAAATATATGGCTCGGGTCGGGCCGGTTGTGGCCGTGGCTAAGGCCTAGTCCTCAGGCTATGGTGGCTGGCCTGATCCAATTCTCGGGCTATCGTGGCTGGCCAATGCATTTGGGCTACATCTTGTAGCTCAGGCCCTTAGTTTTTAGAGCCAGGCTGACCAGGCCAAGCTGGAATCGCCAACCCTAGTGTTAATACGTGATAACGTAATAGAAGAAAGTAGGTGACCCAAGTGAAAGAGTTGGAGCTACTATAATCACGTTTGGGTGGCCCACTAAATAAGTGCGAAGAGTGAAGTAGCCTTTAAATAAAAAATATACAAAGAGATCATTACTCTTAGAACAAGAAGTCACAATCACTTTTGTCCCATATATTTTAAATCGGGGAGTTCCAAATATATTGTTGACTAGACTTCAAGTTAAAAAATAAAAAATAAAAATTTAACACACACCAAACCATCCAAATTGATCTGTGTGATAATGATAAATGATGTTATAATATACAATCCTAAAATAAAAATGTGGCTAAGGTGAGAGTGAGACATAATTAATAATAAAGAGGGAAATTATAGAAACCCCCCTTGGCTCTACTTTTCAAACATGCCACCCCCAGTATTTTCTAAATTACACTTGTAACCTCAAATTTTTTATAATTGTAACCATCATCAAAGTAAAAAAGTAGACTTGAGGGTGTTGGGCGACAGATGTTGGGCATCACGTTTTGGAGTCAAGGGTTAAAATAGGGTATTTTGGTTCAAAAAATTTTATTTTTTTTATTTGAGGGTGGTTGCAAAGATAAATAGTGTTGAAATTAATAGTGTTATATTAAAAGTGTTAGAGTGAAGGATACCTACAATGTACAAACGGAGGTTTTTTTTAAAAAAAATTTCCCTAATGAATATGGCGGATTTAAAATTGAGAGAGTGATGTATACGGCTAAAAAACAATGTTGTGTGAGTCAACGGACGCACAAACGATGGACGTTATACAAAGTGTACCCTGTAATTTTTATATGGACGATGCACCAAAAAGCACCAAACGTCTATATTTTTAATTTAAAATTTTTAATTTTTGTTCATATTTGTAATTACTTTGTCTTGATGATGAATCTACAAAAAAAAAAAAAAAAGTTAGATAAAAAATCCATATTAAAAACAAATTTTAGATGGGAGACGTATACATACATATGGGTTGGCCGATTCATAGAAACTCCGTACTACGACAAAATACCCGAACAAATCCTGGGTGTTTCATTAGTCTGCTGTCCGTCTTCCCTACTTTATATATGGGTGCGGTTTGTATAGAGTTGAGGCTCGAAACAATCAAAGTAAAACCTACACCTTCAAATAGTGTTAAGAAATGTAGTTTAAATATTGAAAATTGTTGTGATAGCCGTAAAATATATTTTTATTTTTAATTATAAAATTTAAAATTTAAAAAATAGTGTAGATCGATCAGATCCATGAAAACTTAAAAATCTTGAAAGTTGACGGTCCAAAAATGTGTTCGAGGATGTACTATTTTCAAAACTTGAAATCCTTTTTTTCTTTTTTTCTCATGTTCACTCACCTTGATGTCGAGATGATCAATTTCAAGATATTTGGACATTCTCTAGTGAACTTTTTGACGTGGACTCTCATTTTATTGTTTACGGCCTAGGCACCATATAAACTTTTTTTCATTTATATTGGTCCACCCTACTTCGTTTTTGAAAGTTTAGTCAATTTGTTGCCTTACGAAGAAGCCTATGGAAAGAACATTCCAAGGAAAAATGTGATTTTTGGACTTCATAAGCACAACCCATTGAAGCAAGATAAGCACTCCTAACCTCTATAAAAAAAAAAGATCAACGAAGACATAATACTCACCATTTTAGGTCACTCATTTGGGTTCATGGGCATAAATCTCCTGGAGAGAGAAAAGTCTCCCAGAGAGTGAAATATGGTTTTCAAGATAGAGGTAGCATTATTATGAGATTTTGGATTGGTTAAATTTCCACTTTAGAGAGAGAGAGAGTTTTGCAGTAGCTCTCAATGTTGTGTTTCTGGAGAGGTTTAGTAGGGTTGATATGTATTGTTGTTTGGAGAGGAAAGGAGGTTTAGTAGGAGATCAGTGAGGGGTCCTGGTGATGTTTAAAGTGGATACATATCTTGTAACCTAAAATTGTAATTATCATTGTTATAAGAGATTTTGTCTTTCCAGGTCTTGAGAGTAGCTCATTTAGAATGGATTGCATAAATCGTGTCCTTGTAGTGCGACTTTTGTGTTTGCTTTGGTTTTCACACTTTCTTTTATTGTTGTATTCATATATTTTGCATCTAGCCAACCATACATATAATCTTATATTAGATCCATATATTTGGTATCTCTAGTTATGCAAGCAAGGGTTTCCCAGTAACCCCATAGTTGGTATTAGAACACAATATTTATAGAAAGCCGAGGTTTTTGTTTTTGGTGGAGAAAAACATATCTTAGATGGGTACATAGTTTCTGGTGCAAAATTATGGAGCCAAATTGTTTATAAAAAGGAAAAAATTTATATAAGGTTGTAACTTTAAAATGTAGAATTAAGGTGCACTTCAAAAATCCATTAAAAAAGGCTATTTTGACGTTGAAATCCCCTCTAATTGATCAACTCAATATCAAGATGTATGAATATGAAAAAAATAAAAGATTTTGAGTCCAAAAAATAATGCATCTTGAAACACATTATCTAGACCATATATTATTAGTATTTTCATGTGTTTATAGATTGGGATTGTATACAATAAGACCATTTACCTTTGGGACAAGGAGGTCGCAATTACTTACAACCATCTGATGTGAAATTAGATAGCTTGGGTGCGTTCCAGAGTTAAAAAAATTCTTTTGAACTTTGAGCTTTGTCAATGGAATAAATGTAGTTACCCAATTTCATATCAAATAATGGTCAAGATTAATTGTGACCATCTTATACCAAAAGTAAATGTTTCATTGTATACTTTTCTTTATATAGATTTACTTGATTTGAAACATTTTTGGAGTTGATAATTTTATAATTACAGATGACAATGGATACTAAGGCTATTCTAATAATTTTCGAAACAAATTTTACATCTTATGATAAAAATTAGAGTTGCGCCTTACTTTGATTGTTTAAAGTTACAATCTTAAACAAACCATACCCTTATAAAAATCCACAATGGAGGCAAGAGGAAAATATTCAAGAAACCTATCCAAACGAGGTAGGCAAGGTTAATATCATGATTTTGTTATCAAGATGTAGATCCTTAGATTGGTGATAGCCAAAATTACTACACCTATATTTTCTTCAAAAGATTGAGGGTATTATAGTCATTGAGTAAATGGAAATAATGGATATCTTGAAAGGAATGAAGAAACCCTAATGAAAACATAATACCCTACCCATTTGGGTTCATGAGAATGGATTACCAAGAGAGCAATATTTCTCTAAGAGACTGAGACATGACCTCCTAGAGAGGTAGTTTTTCATGGGGTTTTGGATTTGGTTAAATTTTCATTTTTTGAGCAAAAAAGTCTCTTAGTTGCTATCAAAATCCTTGTTTCGATACCAATATAGCTATGAAAAAGAGGAAATTGATTCACACTGCTACTTGGTTGGGAGAGAAAGTTAAACATGAAAATATTGGCGATAGTTTTGCCTATATTTGGAGAGACGCATATATCATGACCTAAATTATAATTTTATAGTGGATTCTGTCTTTTTTAAGTCTGTGGACGTAGCTCATTTGGGATTAAACCTCATAATCTTATAGCATTGCAGTGTGACTTTTATGTTTGCTTTAATTTTCATACTTTTTTTGAAAATGTGTTCCTTGTGTACAACTAACTATTTTGCATTTAGTCAGCTACATTCACCATCATAAATAAAATCCAGGTACTTGGGTTTTTTTGTTGCCAAAGAGAAGGGTTCCCAAGGATCCTACATGCTAAATCTAGCCCTTTGATAACGCTAAAAATCAATTTTTTTTAATTGTCAATTGTTATTGATGATTATAGGTTCTACAATTCATGGAGTTCAAAAATTCTCTTAGGTAAACAATTTTATTATTTTTTCTTTCTTAAAATGAATAGCCTATAATCACTGCATTTCCATTCTAAAATATTGCCAGATTCCAATTTATCTTTTAAAAATTTCTTTCACAATCTTCTTCTTTGTCAGGAGTGTCAGCGCCAAATATGCTGTGTCGACGCCAATATGGTATGTCACCACCAAGAGAGTGTTGGTGCCAAATATGAGGCAAAACAATTGCCCCTAGGTACTCTCATTAGTAATTTAAGATAATGAGACCATTTGCCTTTGGTACAAGTTGGTCACATTAATCTAGACTATTAGATGTGAAATTAGGCGATTGCAATTATTCCATTGACCAAGCTCAAGCTTCTAAAAAAATTTTCTCGAACTTTGTGATACATCCATGCTATCAAACTTCATATCGGATAGTTGTAACTAATTGTGACGAACTTGTATCAACAGTAAATGGTCTCATTGTATACAATCTCTTAAAAATTTCATAAAACAGAACTTCAATAGAGAATAAAATAAAAAAAAGTATCATGTGAACACCCTTCTACTAGTTGAGCTCTCATACGACCATATCCAATGGCCAAAAATTAGTCTTATATTTTTTATTTTATTTTATTTAAATAAATACTTATCTAAATTTTGGTGTATAGGTGTATTCTTATCAATATAGCTAAATAAAAAAGATTAAAAAATATTTTTTAAAAAATTACCAAAATACCTTTAAATTTATTTTGGTCAATATTTTTATTTCGAATAATTTCTTGTTAATTTCATTCAATCTTACATATAAAATAAACCTAAAAGAAAAATTTCAGATTAATATCAATTTTACTTTTTTATTTAAAATAATGAGCATGGTTCAATCTGAACCATTGAAAGGTGCATGTCCACCTTTTAAACGTCCACATGCTGTGGGTGCAAGACCAACCCTTAAGAGAAATTTCTTCAAATCTCACAAATGCGTTGTCCATTCAATTGGTAATAAGAATATGCACAAACGTAAAATAAGCTTCGATATCAAAGGATAGTATACTTTAGGATATCTTAAGGTGAGGTCCAAAATTGCAGAGCTTTGGTAACTTCTATTTCACTCCTAGCTTGAAATTTCAACTTTCATACCACCCAAAATACAAAAAAAAAAAAAAAAAAGTTCAAATACTTTGGGGGGTTTAAAAGTCGTCTTTCCAACCTGCCCAAAGCACAAAAATTGAAATGTTTAAGCAATTCGAATACTTTTGAACCCCACAAAACACAAAAATTGTAAGTCTCTGAGCCAATTCAAAAGTTGAGCTTTTGAAGACTAAGACAATTTTTTCTTTTGTACTTATAGGGCAACGTCAATGCATGAGGGCTTTTTCCTGCGCAACTACACTCATTGGCACAATATCAAAGCCCAACCAAAGTAAATAGCCTTTCTTGTTGAGAGAGTGCAGTCGTTAGTTAAGTCTTGTCAAAGTCCAAGTGATAAATAGCTCTTTTCGCTTTCATCCAAAAGCTAAGACTGAGTGTGAAAGTTTACCGCAACCAGATTTATAAAAATAAGAAATAAAATTATTTTACGGTCCTTGGATAGGGCTAGGTTTAATCTGCACCCTTCAAAGCATCAAGTAATTATTGGTATTATTTTTTTCAGTCTCCATTGAAGACTTGATGTGTGCAGGTGAGGTATGAGGCAATGAAAGACAAAGTGGAAAGTGTTGTAAGCAAAGGGTGCGTTAGTTATGATGTCTTAGCTAACCAAGAAGAGTGCCTTGCCTTCAAGCCATGGACATCACATTTCACTCCTCAAGACCATCCTACAGTAATTCAGGTTGTTTCCCTTTCTAGTCTCCTCTAAATTTGTTTTTTTCCTTAATTTTTTTTTTTTTGGGGACATTTTACATTAATAGACTAATTTTTGGGGGTCACCATTGTAAAATATAGTCCACTATGAAAAAATGACTCTGGGCTTCTATGCCACAAGATGCTTCATGCCTAGAAAATGGAATATATTTAACGAGAAAAGTATATAAAGAGACAATTTGCTTTTTTGTAATACAAGGAGATTATAGTCATTCTTGTCTATATGATTTCAAACCATATAGTTGCGAATGTGTCATTGATTAGGCTTAAATTTCAAAAGAAATTTTTTTTGAGCCTTATCAGATATCCTAAGCCTTCTAATTTGATATCTAATTGTGACCTCTTGTAGGAATTCAATATTTAAAAATTGAATGGAAAAGCATGTTATAATCCTTATGACTGTAGAGGAATCATGGCCATGAGGATCATAAGTTTTCCTTTGAAAATTGATTGTCTGAACCCTAATATTCACAAGCGTGAAAATAAATTCAATGATAGTAAACTACAGGCGATAATGACAACATCTCTTGGATAGACTAAGGCATGTTTGCTTGTTTGCATGTATTTGACTATTTGTTATTATTGGGAATTCACTATTTTCATTAAATTATTCATGATAATGAATTATCAGTTGTTTGGCCATGTCCATCATAAAGTCATCTTATATAAACCTATAGGCAGTTTTACTTATAAGTTTATTTTTATGAAAAGCTCTTTTTTTTTTTTTTTGACAAAGTTACATGAGAATGGAAAGCTCCTTTTTTTTTTTTTGACAAGATTACTACATGAGAATGGAACTTGAGACGTAGTGCTATAAAAAACCATTTACTATCACCTTGACCCAAGCTCAATTCCCTAAAAAAGCTCTTTTTATTTTATTCATAGTAATTTGTTGAAAATGACATGATTTTAATTAGAAATAGCTAAAAATAGCTAGATATCACAAAAAATGTTAAACAATTATATTATGTATAATACAAGATACGAACGAAGCAAAATTAATATTATCAAACGAATATTAATTTTAGACAATAAAGTTAATTATCATTGAAACACATAATAAAACTTACATAAAAATGCAAGCCTCCAAAATGTCCGATGTATGCCATTCAAAGTGATAATATGTTTTTAAAATTATAGAAGCAATGGTATTATCTATCCCTTGATTTCTAAGTGGTAGAAGATTCAAATTTATCAAGTGGGTTGAGATTTTTCCATTAATACACAGGTCTGGTAGAATCCTGGCCGTTCATAACCTTCGATGTTTGGCAGGTAGTGTTAGAGAAGGGAAAGGATGTGGATGTGTCAGGGCACCCAATGCCAAACCTCGTATACTTGTCAAGGGAGAAAAGGAAGGGAACTCAACATCGTTTCAAGGCCGGTGCTCTCAATGCTTTGGTTGGTTCCTAGCTCCCACACTATGTGCATACCTCGATACATACCAAGCGATTTTTTATCCGGATTTGCCGGTCTAAATCGTAATCGGTCGGGACCAAATTGGTTATGATGTGGTATAGGTCTTGGCTCATTTCCTCTGCAACTCCACCTTGTATAAATTTTGTTTATTTTTTAAAGCTTTTTAAATATTTTTTAGGTCTTTTTTAATCCCCATTTTATAAACCCCTATTTTTATTTTTATTTATTTTTTAATATTTTTTTTCAATAATTTAGATTGATCTTGGTCTGAGCTAGATCGTAGATCTGATACAGAGTTGTGAGCAAATGATTTTTTTTTTTTATATTGATCCAAGTCCAAGCTGGATCGTTGATCCAACACAGATTTATTGGCTGTCCCATTGATCCGGTTTTTAAAAAGCTGATGTATTGTTACATGACTGCATAAATTTGTATGCAGTAACTAGTTATACCAGTGTCCAACGACTCGATTGAGTCCATTCGGAATCGGCCGAGTAAGTCGGCTTCGGCTTATGGGTTAGGTGAGTTCCAAGGGCCAATTTGCACTTGTTAAAATTTATTAAAAACTCAAAATTTTGCTAAAATTATAAATACAGTTTAAATTTATTTATGTAGTTTTTATGGTTTATATACTCAAAATTTTTCTTTTTTCTAAAATATTTCAAGGCATATCTCAAAATTTCCAATAATCCATCTTTTATATATATATTTCTTGGACTTTACAGACTTTTAATGATTTGGATTTTAAGTATTTTTAATAATTCTTTTACATTATTTTATTTTATACCATTTCTTGGTCTTACACAAGAACTGCTCAAGTCTACTCATACTCATCCGATTTACTTGACTCGAGCCGAGGATGAATCCAAGGAACGAGCCAAGTCTCTAAACGTTGTGTTATACCATACAAATCCATACTTGCATAGAGGGTGTGATGCCAAATGAAACATGCTTAATTTCATTCTCTTTGATCCAACAATGGATATATGCATGCAAATAAATTAAATAAAAACATATACATGACTCCCTACTATATATATGTAAGGTGCGGTTTCTATAAGGTTGCAATCTTAAACAATCCAATTAAGGCACACCTTAAAATTTTATGTAATTTTATTGTATTTTTTTTTATTATTATCGTAAAATCTATTTTCATACCTAATTAGAAAATTTTAAAATCCAAAAATGGTTAAAATCAAGTAGATCCATAAATATATGAAAATTTTGAAAATGGACGGTGTAGATAATGTGTTGCAAGATGCACTATTTTCGGGACTCAAATTTTTTTTTTTTCATATTCATACATCTCGATGTCGAGATGATCGATTTTTTCAACGTTAAAACAACATTTCCGATAGATTTTTGAGGTGCATCTGTGATTCTACATTTTAAGGTTGCAACCTTATTAAAACTTTTCCCTGTATATATATACACATAGGATTGCAGATTTATGAGACTATATGCCTTTGGTATAAAGATGTCATAATTACCTATTACTATCTGATGTGAAATCTGGATTGTATGTTACGAGACTATTCACCTTTGGTACAAAGATGTCATAGTTACCTATAACTATATGATGTGAAATTTGAGTGCATCATAAAGTTTAAAAATCTTTTCAGCTTTGAGCTTGGTCAATAGAACAAAATGCAACTATTTGGTTTCAAATCAAATGGTCAAGCTTAATTATAACCTCTATATACTAATATAAATGGTCGTATTATATCTTTTTTCTAATGTATCTAGATACCAAATTACCGATAAGCATGGTATAACAATTGATGGTGCACAAGCACCCTAAGGGCGCGTTTGTTGTTTTGAAATATAACTTATGAAAAGTTAAATGTTTTTAAATCTTCTAAAAAATTGAATGTTTTGTTATGGAATGTTTAATTGAGTACTCAAAATTTTCTTAACAAAGTACCCAGAATTTGTTATGCAAGGTTTAACTGTTTATCAAACATAGTACCTAGAATTTTCTTAACATTCTAACAGGTTATCAAACACAGTATCCAAAACTTATTTAAAATTTCTAAAACAAAACATTAAACTTTCCAAAAGATTTAAAAATATTCAACTCTCCAGAAGATATCTTTCAGAAAAACAAATGCACCCTAAGATATTGAAATTGGCTTATGCAAGGGCTAAAATTTGAATTTATGTGTTATTTCTATTTTTTACAACTATTATCATGGAAAAATACATCTAAAAATGGCACATCCATTAAAAATGAAAATGAAATAATTCAAATAAAAAATATCAAAACACTTCTTGACCATTCAAGGTTATTTTGATAAGTTTCTATTCAGCGCACACACACACACATAACACGCGCACACATATATGAAACAACACACACACACACACACACACACACACACACACACACACACATATATATATATATATATATATATATCATTAAAAACAACAAAAATATAGAACATTTAAAAGAACGAAATATTTTTTTCTTATATTCATAAAAAAAAAAGCTTTTTGTAAAAAAAAAATAATATAACATTAAAAACAATCCAACAAGCTCACAAAAAATATATAACATTAAAAAGAAAGAATTGTTTTTCTCATATTCATCACAAAAAGGCATATTTTTGTAAAAATATATATATAACATTAAAAAATATCCAACAAGCTCACCAAAAATATATAAAATTAAAAAGAAGGAATTTATTTTTTCTCATATTCATCACAAATAATATATTTTTATAAAAAAAAAGGTAATTTTATTAAGAAACAAATTTTTTTTTTTAAGAAACCTAAAATCGAGCCAAAGAACACAAATTCTTTAGAGTCAAACTCAGCCCCAAATCTTTCATTTTTTGAACAATTTGACAGGAGGATATGATAGATACTTCAATCACAATTAAAATGCCCCAAATAACATGAAGATCAATTCACAATTGAGATCATTCTTCAAAAAATGGTGGATATTTCACTTCACGCAATTTTCAAAACAAAAACGCAAAAAAAAAAATCATATAAATAAATATAGTGAATGATAAATCAACATACCTGATGTATTCGATTTATGAAGCCTTAATGATCAAAATTAACCGATCAATTCAATAAAAAACGATCAATACATAGATCAAAAATCAATTTTTTTTTCATCGAACACAATTCTTCGAGTAGCAGCATTTTCTGCCGACATCAACCTCCAAAATTCATATTTTTTGAAAAATCGAAATAGAAAAAAGTTTAAGGATTCAGTAATGAATCAAAGCCCTCCATTCCATGCATATTCATGGGTTATTGAAGCTCATATTGAAAAAATGGCGGAAATTTCCCAGTTTCAGAAATCCACCATTTCAATCCATCAAAAAATCATTTTTCTTCGATTTTTTATTCAATAAATAGTTAATTATAAAAACTTCAGGTAAGTGCAATATTTCACCGAAAAAAAAAAAAAAGCCATAAAATCGCATAAAAAAATGTTGCAAAACGTGAATCACAAGTTATGTTTAAAATAACGGCCTCTATGTGAAATAATGGTCGTTATTTAATAGAATACCGTTATGTCCGATATATCGCCTGTTATATCAAAAAACTGGACCGGTCAGTAGAAATCGGCCGATTTTTAAGTAAAACTGCTAAATCGAACTCGAAATGGCCGGTTTTGGTGCTTATTTTTTTTGGAGATTCCCGAAATTTTTTTAGTACCCAAAATCAGCCTTAACCCTAATCCGTACTTTGCCGGTACGATTTAATAGGCCGGTTCTGGTTCGGACCGATCGGTTTTACGAATACTGATATATACATATATAAACATATGTGTATATATGTATATGTATATATATATATCTATATATATATAGTATATATATATATATATATAAAGGACTAGTNTTTACTATTACTTCCTACAC